GCCAACACCATTTGCACATGTGAAAAGTTACCGAATTCGATTATAAAAAATACTAAACAAAATATTTAGATAAGTAATAAAAAAGATGTTAGAAAGCATCACAAAGAGCAGATTTCTGGTTGAAAACAACTACTTGAGTTAAATGTTACATCAAATAGTCTTAGCCTCCCTTCACCTAAAAAGGAAAGAAAATTCTTGAGATCAGAACCTAACGTATCAATGTCTTCTATAGTACATACTGGCCAAGAGCTACATAAACCATCATGCGGCGAAAAAAATCAAAAGGTATTCCTATGAGTTTAGCAAAACAACGAAGTACATCTTTAATATGAGGCAGGAATTACAAATCTTATTCCTCAGCTCTATGATATAGTTCTATTTGGGCTTACAATTCCGAGTGATTAAAAAGAATAAAAAATAGTGACTAAAATGAAAAGTAGAATAGTAAAAAATTTGTTTTCAAAGAATACAAGGTTGGAAGTACCAAGGCAGTTATGCAGTTGAGGGAAAACTCGGCCAAAAGCAGTCTTAAAGAACACCGAGTTATTCCAAAATCAGTAACGAGGATGCAATAAATAAATGATCAGACTGCCAGGGTGTGGCTTGAAATTCTAGTTTTCCTTAATTTACAAAATAACATTTAATGTGCAGCATAGGATTTTCCTTAAAATTTTAATACTGTTCTCTCTGCCACTTTTCATGACTTAACTGGTTTACTGTTTAATATGCATTTACTGTATTTTTTCCATAAGTCCTAAGTAAAATATGGAAGCCGATGCAAAGATGTCTCAGGTAAAAGAAAGCCCAGTTACGGCACCTAACTCTTACGTGAAAGCAGGTGCCATCTGTGAAAGAGCGTGCGGTTCGATTGTAATAAATTCTACAGGGAAACAGGATTTGCATTATCAGAAAGGGTATTTACTACAACATATTAAGGGCTTTCTATTTCTTCTTAACCACAAGTGAGAATACATAAAAAAAGGGAAATAAAAATATAGAAAATGTTAGATTACTTCCATTTTAATATGGAAACAAATCTAAAGAATTTGCTGCACAAATAACATCATAGAACAGTGTGCTATGAATCTAAATGTATGCTTTGAAATTATAATGAATAGTAATTAATGGTGAAAAAAATTTGGAGTAATGATGAAATATACTGATTTGTAATGGATTAGACTTTTGGATATTTTAGACAGTAAAAGCTTAGGAAAGGGTGCATGTTTACATCTAAATAGAATGAAATGTCATTGCCTAAATTAATAATGCAAACTTGAAAAATAGCCCCAAGTTCAAAAGACCAATTATAAAATTCTTTTGTAAACAAATCTATATTCGCATTTTTTCATGAATAATTATTACTACCAGTATTTCTCCACTAATGTTCAATTTATAAAATGAAAAAAATATTTTCGAATAAAATTTAAATAATGCTGCAATTTCTAATGATGGTAACTTACCTGTGAATAAGTGCTAATAATAGCTAAGATAGGCATAGTCTACGGGAATAACTTTTATGTATCTATATTAAACAAATAAAAACTTAAATGGGAAAAATTATTTAATTATTTTAAGCAACAAAATATTATGGGAAGATACTAATAACAAATACCACACCTCTTCTTAGGAAATACGTGATCATCTTATAGATTTTTTTATTCTATGTAAATCATACATACTCAAATTCACTTCATCCTGTGAAAGATGATATTTTCTTTGTTGCTGTGAGGTAGGAATGGTGAGCATTTTGTTGTGCTGTGCAACCAAATAATCACGTTGAACTTAACTACCTGCTCGTTTTTAGATATTTTGCTCATCAACAAGAAAACAAAGGTATCCACTGTAAATTCCACATTTCATTCAGAGTCCCTACCTTCAGGAGTATTCGTATATTTCCAGGTTTTCTATACTCCTGGTTAAGGTTAAGTTGTCTTTGTTCACCACTGAAAACAGACCTAACCATAAGCACACAAAATGCTAACGCTGTCATGCGAACAGAAAATGTTTAAACTGTTTACTTTCAATAATAATTAAATTATTAAACAATTTTAAATAAAGATAAAATCATTCTTTTCTCAGCATCTTCAAGCATTTCAAAGGGAAATTTGGTGGATATCAGTAAATTTAAACGTTCTGGGTATTAATTCTTAGGACAGTGACAATATTCTTAGAAATACAACCTCCTTTTCACTGCAGTCCCCGACAGAGGTATAACACAGAAGGGATTCAGCTGGCTCAAATGCACTTTCTAAACAGAAGTGATGCTATTTCAGGGAAATAACTTGAATAGGGACAAGCAAGAGTGATACCAGCTCAACCTCAGCAAAGGTGTGATACATTTCCAAACCTAGGAAACCGAAACACTTTGAAACACGTTTACGCATACAAAGACCGACGAATCAGGGGAACAAAATTCAAACCCCGAGCTTTGTAGTGATACCATTAAAAGCCGTAAGTCGTACTTCTATGAATTTCTTCAAAAAAAAAAAAAATCATGGATATGCACAAAGATTTAGGAATAAGCATTTTCAGAGTAAAAACTTGAAAATAGCCTAAAATGTCTAAAAATTTAATAAAGTGACTATTGTTTATCAATCTAACTCGAGGCCAAGCAAGTTAAAATTATACTGCAGAAGAGCTGTTTTCGAACTAGGCATTTTGAAACTCTAAGGGATTTCTGTAATTACCCAACAATTGATTTTAGATTTGATATATTTTTAACAACTTCAAAAACTGAGAAAAATCCATCATGGCGTGTATTATAACTAAATTTTAACACATGAAGCCCTTTGGGGCACTGAAACTCCTCAACGCCTCACAGAAGAGCACCTTGTACTTGTGAGGTGGTGTGAAACCTGCCACTACCTGACGTGCAAACCCCAGACGAGCGTGCAAACGGGGCTGATGTGTCACCTCAGCGTGCTCCTCATCGGGCTGGCACACTTGTCGCCCCATTTTTACAATGAGGAAGTGGCGCCTCTGAGGGGTCGAATGACTCCGCCGAGGGCTGGGGGCAGGATGGAGAGTGACTGTCACCGACAGCGCCCCCATGGAAACATTTTTCTTGTCCAAACGCTCTTATGTGATATTTTTTATTGTTATAATATTACATATTTTAACTACGAAGTCTACTTATAAGTGGTAGATACCACGTCTGTCTATTTCACATATGGGTCTGTACATGGTCTTGTTTGAAATAATGGTTCTGCTACTTAGAAATAACAGCTTGAAAACCCTAGTTATACAAGATTAATGCCAACAGAAAAGTAGTTACGATTTAAGTGTGACATATAAAATTTATAATGAAAGAAACAAAAAAAGCTCCCAAAACAAGAGCTCAAACCTTATGCATACAGTACAGGCTGAAAGGGTATAATCCTAACAGCTAAGAGTGATAATTAAGGAAAATTTTTATAATTTTCTAATTTCCTTTTTGTGTTTTACAGGGAAGGCAACTACACAGTATGACCTCTTCAATAAAAAAAAAAGAGCATTCAATAATGTTTATTTTTAAAGAACTCATAGTATCAGCACCTTAGAATTTCTGTGTCTACCTCTAATTGGATCACCATTTTACCAAATTTCCAAGAAACACCAATCCGGTGTTAAGCAAAGACAGAACTCATAAAATGTTGAAAGAATGAATAATTAATGAATGAAATATATCTGTAATATCTCTGTACTATAAGATGACCTTTAAAATAAAGCTTAATGCAATTATGAGGATAATAATAGAGATTATGGCAATATATTTACTGAATGCACAGACCACATCCAGAGAAATACAAAAACCTGTTTTTTAAAGAGGGCTTCAGATTTAAGGTACACATTTTAACCCTTTCCCATTTAGCAAAGAAAAGCACAGCTCGCACAGGAACACTACGTTTCCTAGGACCTGACACTGTCAGCGACCAAACTACTGACAACGGATGCTATAAGTAAACGTAGAACATCATCTGCCTCCAAAGACTATCGATACACTGAGCGATGCGAAAATAATAATAAAAAAGATTTCGTGGCCGACTCGGGGTCAGGTTGGCACCGTAACCCGCGAGTGATCTCGGGGCAAAGGGGAAAAGGGCTCAGGCTCAGGTCGCGGTGCTGGTGGACACGGTGTCCGGCGCCTTCCACACCGGCCCGCCCGCCCAGGCCACACGCTTTGCAGTCTGGCTCCTAAGACATTTGTCATCTGGCCGCCCGCAGACCTGCAGGGTCCTGGACCAGCTCCGGGGCAAGCTCTGTCCTCACATTAGGCCCCGCCCTGCGCTCTCCACGTCCCTGTCACAGGGGCGGGCAGGACCATGCGCCACTGCCCGGCGCGTCTGGCACATCTCGGCGCCTGTGCCCCCGCCGCCCGGGAGCACTGACCCTGTGGCCCTCAGCGAGGGGACTGAGCGCGCAGGACCGCCGCACACTCTGCGTGTGGAGATGCTGCACTGTGTCACCGCCGCCTTCTAGAGCACGCCTGTGTCTGAGAGTCGCCACCTGTTAAGCCGCCGCTGACTAGTGGGGGCTTCATCCTGGCTGACCCTGCTCCAGGATGCCTCCCCACACTCCCTTGGCTGTACTATATTAGTTATGAGTATGCCAGGTCACCTGTTATGCCACCATGTCCTCAAAGGCAGGACACATTTCTAAAGGTGTCTTGTTACCTGAAGGAGAACTTCGGTCACAGTGGGCAGGACGCCATGTGCACCGAATCCCCGATTAATTGAAATGGTCCTGACTTTGCAAAGAAATAAAATCACTTGACATCGGGTGTACCAAAGGATTGTAAAACCTTGATGTTGAGATTATAAAAAACAGGAAAGAATTTTACAATTTTAAAAAGTCACTAAAATTAGGTGGTGAAATAAATTCTTAACCTAGGGTCAGTAAATCGCACTTTAGACGGTGCTAATTCATGTTCATCAGAAACACCATTCTCTATCGGTGAGTTTCGCGGGACTGAGTCCCTCGCGGTGGCCGGCTTGGTGGCCTGCCTCGGAACGAGGCGTTACCTGTAGTCACACCAGGGGCACCTGTAGGGCTTCTCTCCCGTGTGAACACGCTTGTGTCGCGTCAGGTGGGACTGGGTTGTGGAGGCGAAGTTACACTCGTCACATTTGAAAGGCTTCTCCCCTGAAACAGATCGAGAAGTGTTGTACGTGAATAATTATAAAAATCGGAAATGAAGGGCTAAACTGTTACTGAAATTTTAAGAATAAGTTCGATGGGCTATATGTATTTGGGACATTTAAATACTTATTCTCAGAGAGAACACGCCACTGATTTTTATTTCTAGCTTGGAACAGAAGCACGGTACACATTCTGTAGTTCAAATGCAACTTACACAAACAGGAATCTACATCACAGCCCTGAGCTGGCCCTGTACTTGAAGTCACTGACAAATTATGTCACATTAGAGCCATTATAAAAATTTCGATGAGGTTAAAGCCATGGAAAAGCATGTAACAGAGATATGCTTTGGATATATAGTATAAAGCTTATAAAATCTTAAAGTTAAATATGAAGAACATAATAAAGCTATAAATTGATAGCAAATTAAATGTTGTTTGAAGTCAAGAGAAATTACAGTTGACTAAGTTCAATAAATGGTACAAAGGCTTCAAGAAAGCATTTAGAATAGTATTTAACTGCATTTTAATGTTGATCTTCCTGTGTAGATATGACACATTTCTGTAGGCACCCAGTCCAGCCACGAGGTGGTTCAAGGGCTCCCATGGGACTGGCCCTCTCCACTGAAGCCTCTCTCTCCTTTATCCGGCCCTCTTCATACACGTTCAGAGAAACCAACTCTTAGCAGTTTTTAATTCCACTAACTACATTGGCTGGTGAGCACTTGAAACGTGGCTATGTAATTTTAATTAATGCAAATGTAAATCTAAAACCCGATACTGGATTCACCTATTGAAAAATGTTTTAAGTCTGTTTAGAACAGCTTGAGAATGTGAATCTACTTATTCAAGTGTAATTTTATCAAATCTAAATGTAGACCATAGATTTCAGATGAAAACTGAGCCTCTGGATGGAGGTTATGAGGAATGTAAAATACCGATTTCAAAATCCTAGAACAAAAAGAAAAGAATAAAATATTGCTAATAATAGTATATTGCTATCACGTTGAAGTAATACTTTAGATGTATTTGGTTATATTAATTATTTAAGATAATTTCATCTGTTATACTTTTCATTTTTTTTAACGTAGTTACAAGAAAATTAAAATCGGCCCGCGCGTGGCTCCCAGGCCATGTCTGCTGGCCAGCGATGAGCTGCAGAAATCCTCGCCAGCTCGTCCCCAAAAAGCTGGACCGCACAGGGACACTCGTGGACACGACCTTCCCCTAGGACCGTCACGGACGGGGCGGCTGACTTCACACGGGGTCCCCCCACCCGACCCCCCAGCTGCGGTCTCACGTGCCACGGCTGCCGTTACCCTCGGCCGACCGCGGTCCGAAGCCATGAGTCCCG